GACGAGCAGTATGGAGGAATATTGACACGTTTTTTGCAGACTTTTATGGACCTTTCTGTCTCGGGCACCATAGACCTCCATTATTTGAATGTCAGCAGACAGCAAGAAGCCTCCCAGATCTCCAGATGCATTTGAGATATCAAAAAAGTACTCCAGAGTGTTGTTCAGCATGGGGGTGAGTAGAAAATGAAGGCTAATCATGTTTTGGGTGTACTATTCCTTTAAGGGAAGATTCAAATCGATAGCATTTAGTTTCAAGCATGGACTTTGTGGAAGTTAAGGTGTCCTTTTTGCCAAAATGGGTGGATGGTTCTACATCATATATACATGTGTCCCCCTGGATTATGGATTAATCTCAGTTCTAACTAAATGCTGGGATCTGGGGTAGATTTTGAAACTGCATCTGGTTGCCTCACTGCTGGCTGCTCCTCTCAGGCTCCATGACCTTCAAACGTCCCTCTAATACTTAGAAGAACTCAGTGAGGAAAATCACTTTGCAGATGGTCGTTTTGGGGCAAAGCTGGCTTCTGCTGCCAACATTATTCAAGCTCTACACTGGTGGCAACGTGCCTCGTTAACACATTCCTCAGGAGCAGGCTGTGTTCTCTGCAACTGAATCTCTCAGATTAAAGATCCTAATAAATTTGAAATATATTTTTCCAGTTGTTTATGATATAGTGATGAAAGTGAAGCAAAGCGGCTGTTCTTTTCTAGCTAGAGTCTGAATTGGAGTCAAATTGGAAGCTAAAAGCGTTTTTTTATAAAAGATTCTTTGCTAACATTTTCCCACCCATCCTGTTTGCCTTTAGCCTGCTCATTTAAAGCCTATTTGCTGTAGAAAAATCAGCCATGAACACAATGTCTATATTCAGATTTATACATAAAAAGGTATAAAAATTAATTCAAGTAGCTCATTTTTATTTATTTTTTTTTAAGTTTGCTATTATAATTTTTAAAAAATGCATAAACATCCCACAGGAAAAAGGAAACCAACACACATATGGGCTTGGAAAAAAATGTAATTCACTCCCATATAAAAAAGTACACATACATGACACTTAATTAAATACACATTTCCACGTGTGATTCTTCACTCTTATTTTAAACTGGTGTCAGCAGCAGAGAGAGACTGTCGTATAAAAAGGCTTCAATATTCCCTCCCTTCTGGTCTCCTGACTGACCTCCTGGAACATAAACACATTTGCATAAATAAAAGGTGCACAAATAATAAATTAGAGGGAGATCCAGTCCATTTAAAGTGATGATTTCAACCAGCTCTCTTCTGAAAGGAACGCAGGCGTCAGATATTCGTGGAACAGCCGAAGAACAAAGATATAAATAATAGAAATGGAAAAACGTGGAGCTTCAAGGTATTTTCCATCTCGGCTCATCCAGACAGTCTGCATGTGGCTGCTGTTAGTTCTTGGCTTGCAGCTGCAGATTTACACAACTGTTGAGATCAGAAATGAAGCAGCGGCGGTTTTAGCAGAGTGGGCTGGACGGACACCCTGGGAGTTTTTTCCTTTTTTTTAAACTAAACTATTACAAAGTGCACTCCAATCAACAACACCTTCCACATTCACAACTCTGGACAAAAATAAACTTTTACACGGTTGATAAAAATACTAATAATGGACTAATTACGTACAAACAGCTCCCCCTGTATCTGGTGTGGAGAAAAAATCTTTACAGTGGGAGTTAAATAAATGTTCATAAGTTAAACATTAGGGAGTTAAAGGCTTTTACATGTTTGCTTTGGCTGCAGTACCTGCAAAGTATCCAAACTCATTTAAATGTTAAATTAAAAATACAATCTTTGATTCATTTTTTTTTTTCATTTGGGTTTAAGATGACAGAGCAACACAAATTAAAACCTAACTGTAAAATGTGAGAAAACTGGTTCATGATTGTCTTTTTTGTTGTTGTTTTTTTGCATTTTTACAAATCTAAAAGACATTTCTTTGCGTTCTGCTTCTTTTTCTTGTGTAAATCCCCCAAAATAAAAAGAGTACAGATTGAAGTTGTGAAGTTTCAAAACATCATCCTATTTTGCTATTGATGTTTTTTTTTCTATTTTCTCTCCTCCCTCTTTTCTGCCTCTCTTCCTCTCACCCCTTAATTCTTACCGCCTCTCCTTCTCTTCCCTCCCTTTCTGTCTTCGTTACATACGATTTGATTTCCTGAATATTTTTAACAGGTTTTTCAAGCATCAAATGTAACCTTATGGCAACACCCGTAAGGGTCTGCTTGTGAAATCATATCTGTTGGGCTATCATTCAACTCTGGGATGTCGATTCCCAGAGTTATATTAGCAAAACAGGAAACAGGGAAGTAAAAAGGACGAGTGATCATAGAAGCAGCACAGTAAAGGGAAGATTAGACTTCTGCTACCGCACACATCAAATGTCGCTTGGGTCTGGTCGCGAACCAGTTCTGCTGGAATGCTTCTGCACCATCAGTCTGGAATTTCTAGGGATGAACAGCAGTTTCTCGCCAAAGCCTATTCGAGAACTCTCGAGAACTCCGGTGGATTGCACCAAATTGAGACACACAGATAGCCAGAAAGGCATACCAAGGACCAATCACAGCTGCTTTTTGTCTGCACACTTCCGCTTGAGGTCTTTGCGGTTTTGTGACTGTCTGATGCGTAGTCAGGATTCTTTTTAGGTGCGCGACGACGGTTTTAGAACCTCTGCGCGGAGGCCGTGGTCGCACACAGAGACAGATTTGTCTGTGGCAGATGCTATGCATCAGAAGCATAAATTGGCCTTAACTCTGGAGGAGCTGCAGCTCAAGGCTAGTTTATACTCAGAAACCCGGTGGTCTGCGTGTGTCACAGTGAATGCAGACACTCTGCTGCACCTCTCTAAAATTGCAGCTGACCAGGAGACAGGAGGCCTCTGATTGGTCAAATCTACATCCGCTCTACACTATACCTATTTCCTGTTTGGTACCTTACCGCCTTCTTTTGTTTGTATGACCGCCATTGTGGAAAAAGACTCGTGAAGTTTGACCAGCTAGACAAGCGAGGCGCACGAGAACGCTGGGACTCTACTTCCACCTCAATCCCCGCTCTTTTTCACCCTCATGTTCCGCCATTGTTGCACAAACTTGCCCCCACTTCCTCACCACCTTGACCGTATCTAGACCCACAGCTAGTTCCTGATTGTCCCTCTTGCGTTGTGGCGTGGAATAACATAGTGCAGACCACACTTCAATATTGGGGATATATCAAAAATTAGGGATGCACGATATTGGGATTTTGATATCCGATATGCCGATATTTTAAAACTCATGTAGCCGATAACCGATATCGATACCGATGTTAAAGCTGGACAAAAATAAGTAGTCATTGAAAATAGCAGTTTTGTTATCCATTTCTGACACTTTGAAAAATAATATACTCAAATATATTTTCATATGCTGATATCAAATTGATTTTTAAAAACCGGTATCGATCTATTTTACTTTCAAAATCTCGTGAAATTTCATTGTTCTGTTACAAACTCTCGTGATATTTTGCAAATTCTTGTGAGATTTTGTTAGTAAAATAGAACGATACCGAGTCAATATATCAACATATAAAAATATGCCAAAATTTCGATGACATATAGCAATATTTCATTAGTAAAAGAGATTGATATGGTGTTTTTAAATGGCAATATATCAGCATTTTCCCTCGTCTTTAGAAGTTTTTAAGTCTGTAAAAAAGAAGTTTTTGAGGAAGAAGAAGAAGTAGTATTTATTTATTTTTTTTAGACTTTAGAAACTCAGAAGCTGATCAAATATCGGGTCAAATATCGGTGGGGTGGCCGATGTCCGATATTCAGTTTTAAGGCCGATACCGATAGGGGGCCGATTATATCGTACATCCCTATCAAAAATATCTATAACAAGCTCACTGCGACACACTGCTGCGGCCCTTCAGGTGGGAGAATCTGTCAACTGGACTCCAAGCATGGAGAGGTTGTCAAAAAGCTGCAGCAGAAAGGAAGCGATAAGGAATTCTGTTTACAGATTTTCACAAACCTTGAAGGACAGACAGTCAAGTAGCAGACGGTGCTCCAATCAAATTAGTCTAAAAATGAGCTTTTAATTTGAAACTTGCTGTTGTTAAACTAACACATATTCCCCTGTAAACCCCCTCCCACGGTCAGGGAAGCTGAGACTTCTGAAGGCCACACCTCTCAGATTCTTAATCATCATAAATCCCAAAACTACTGAACGTATTTTTCTTTCACTTTACAGCTTTGCTCCGTTTTGTGTTGCTCAATCATGGTTTTAAACTGAAAAAGGGGAAAATTTAAGGTGTTTGAAAACATGCAAATCAGTAAAAAGAGAAGCTGTTTGAATGTGAAAACAATTACTAAAGCTTTTGCACTAAAACAGAAAGGTGTTTTTTTTTTTTTAGCTTTTTTTTAAAGTCAGCTGTTGGCAAGATTAGCTTGACGACTTTATGACTCCGGTCTTTGCCAAACCATCATTAGCCTGTCATGCTAAACCCAAACCAATCCCGGCTCCAGTGAGCTTCAATGCCAGTGGGAATTTCCAGTGACATGTTTAAACAGTCTTGGTCACGTCACCAAAGTAGACAGAGATTGAGGTTTTCAGTGCACTTATATGAAAATGTACTTGTTGAAAGAAAGGAGGAGTGGAAACCAAGCATCTTCGCTGTAACTTAAAGTGAAACATGGGGTTGTTTGAGTTTATGTGACATGATATTAAATCGATGTCTCGTGCTTAATGAGATGCCAAAAACAGTGAGTGAAGCTGCCTTAGACAACACGTTTCTGTTTAATATGACGACGAAGGCTCACGGATAGCTAAAAGAAAACTCAGCAGTTCAGAGAAAGATCAACCTTTCCTCTTCACACTCAGAGCCAGCGCTGCTCTCAGAAAAATGTTTGATTCTCAGTGCAGAACGCCCCACATGGGACGGTCATATTATACTATCTGGGGAGATTTCAGAGAGCCATAGAGCCATTAATCCCCCCCCCCCCCCCCCCCCTCTGGTGAGCACTCTCACTTCCTGGGCAGCAATGCTGCGAGTCTCTGCTTCTTAATTGGAAGGAAGTGGATCTCCTGGGAGCTGACCTTCTTTAGCTTGATGGCTCTGTTTTTAGTGACCTTTTTATGAGGGTTGTTGGGGTCTTGCTCCCCGTGAGACGATGACGGCATCCCATAGAGCTGCTGCAGCGAGGCCGCCTGGCTGCCGTCCCGTTTGATGGAGAAGTTCTTGGTTGAGACTCCTGATAGACCTTTGATTTTCCCACAGAGGATGGCGGGAATGGCATCTTTAACTGAGACGATGACCTTGGCTGTCTGCGACGTGCTCACTATCTCCAGGTTTCCGGCTCCGCTGAGAGAGGCCTCTTGGCCCAGAGAGCTGGAACTAGCCACGCCGGTGTCCACCAGCCACTTGTGTTGCCGGCTGAACTCCAGCGAGGTCAGGCTGCCCAGGAGTTTGGAGTCTAAAGCTGGAGAGCATTGGACACCCAGGGACAAAGCAGCGCTGGGCGCACCCTGGCCTGACTCTAAGGATACTTTCCTTTCCGACTGAACACAGGTTTTCCTCACGCCAGGCACAGACAGGTCGAGAACGTTTTCCTGGTGAGGACTGGGATATTCCTGTTTCGGTTCGATCGGACACGCCTTGACAGAGAGGTCCAGAACCTGTCCCTCCTCTAAAGGCAGCGAGGTCAGGGGCGCGTTCGGTGGCTGGGAATGAGAAACGCACTTCCTTGAAGACAAAGAGGGAGAGGTAGTATCTCTGGGTGACGTCTGAGTGCTTTTACTCACAGTGCAAACTGGTTTTGGCTGGCTCCCTTTTGAGTCCTCACTTGGAGCAACCGGGATGGGGATGGGGAGGGGGACGGGCAGAGGCACTGGTAGGGGAATGATCACAGGATAGGGGACTAAGAGCGTGGCAGGAGGAACTAGAGGAGCCAAAGGGGAGGTGTAAGGGGGTGTGAGAGGAGGGAGGGGGAAAAAGGCAGAGCCTGGGGACTGACAGGAGGATGATCCTGACTGGGGAGGGAAGAGATCCTGCAGAATAGCTGCAAAAGCTGGATTCTGCAGAAGAGACAACAGGTTCTCTTCCTGCGTTTGTCCTGCCCCCTTCGGGTCAAGAGCCGGAGGTAAAGCAAACGTCAGAGGGTTCTGACAAAGGTTCTGCAGGGGTAACTGCGTACAGGGGGGGGGCTGAGGGATCACAGAGGGACTCATGTGCTGTAGGACCTGCTGGTCCAGAACCAGAGGGAGAGAAACCGGGCTTTGGCTCGCTATCAAGAACGGTGCTGCGCCTATTTGTCCCAGCGGAGGCGCGGCTGCTCCGGCCATCTGGAGGTGGATGGGCAGCATCAGCGGACTCTCTCCCAGACACACCGGGTGGAGGACAGTGGTGGCCACCTTCAAGGCCACGCCTCCAGGAGGCTCAGCGGCGGGACCCACCGCTGACGGCGAAGGGTCGTCTATGTGGTTAGACATCCCTGCTTTGGTCGGGCTGCTGTCACACGGGTCAGCAATGAGGGGGCTTTCTCCGTCTTCCACTTTACTGACGACCTCCCCTCCTCGCTCCTCAGCGCTGCACGTGTCATTCTGTAGCTCTGCTGCATCAAGACGCACGTCATCGTTGCCTTCCATGATTCAGTCTGAAAAGTTGATAAGAGATCATGAGGTTAGTTTGAGGTTAAGACCTTTATTCCACTGTTAGTCCAGTGTAGAATCTTATCCACAATAGGAGACGCACCAGGCATCAAATACTACAGCTGACCTTTTTGCTTTAACCTAAATATAAAGTGTGGAATTAAAGTTTAGTGACTTTAGGGGAAATATTCACTAAGTGGATAAAAGATCAAATAGAAAAAATAAAATCCAACATGATATCGAGGCAGAGAAGGAAAAATAGCATCTCTGAAGCTGCACTCAGTTTAGATACAATACTCATCTACTGATTCAGGAACAAAAAAATGTTTCCACCAAACAAAGAATTTGGTACAAAGTCCAACTTTCTGCCTTCATCTCTAATCCAAATCTTATATATCTACATTTCCTCTCAGTAACTTTTGGATAAATGTCTCTTAGGCATCACTGCTGCCTCCATCTCCCATCTGTTGTTATTTTGTTTGATTTGTTAATAAGTGTTGTTTTTTTGTTTAAACTGAGACTTTTCTTTTCACTGTGTCATTTTTATCATCTAAAAGGAGGAAGAAAAAGGAAGGCTCTGCTCCAAAAATCAGCAGCTCATATCACTGATCGGTTATACTGATGTTAAAGTATTAGCATCAGCCTTCAAAAACCTGTATTTCTCTCTACCTATGACCAAATAATAAATGTATATATATATTTTTTTACACCCGAACAAGGTTTGGATCCAACGCCAATTGAATGTTTGAGCCTGTTTCTTTTTCAGAAATGGTACGGATCATTTAAACAGTCCGGTTTCCAGCTACAGACAAACTCAGAGCCATTAGGGTGAGCCATTTTAATCCAATGCAACCCAGGGATCATCCTCTACCTAATATAAGGCAGTAACATTGGATTGGAAGCATACCCTCAGTATCATGCGTCCGCCACTATGTTTAATAGTGTTGACTCTTCTTCATGTGTCTCCAGTAACCTTTTTACTTTAACCTTTTAAAGTTGCCTTTTTCTATCTCTGCTTCTGTCTCCTTGAACCCCAGTCGGCCTCAGCAGATGGCCGCTCACACTGAGCCTGGTTCTGCTGGAGGTTTCTTCCTGTTCAAAGGGAGTTTTTCCTCTCCACTGTCGCTACAAGCATGCTTAGTGTGAGGGATTGGATTCGAGTCAATGAGTCGATGCAATCAGCTGGTTTTCCTTAGATAGGAAACTTTAAATCAATTTGACTGGATGATCTGGTGAACTGGAAAGTGCCTTGAGATGACATGTGTTGTGAATTAGTTCTATAGAAATAAACTGAATTTAATCGAAATTAAGGATATTTGCTGTTGCTAATTAAATTAAATGAAAGCAAATTAAATCTTGAGTTTTAATGTGACCAAAACATAAATTTTATTCCTATTTTCCTCGGCACTAACATTTAACATTTAGCTTTAACATGCATGGATCTGTGCACCAGCTGCAACTCGCTCTTATCTACTGTATGGCGGCACGTTACGGATATAACTGCCCCCTAAACTAAAGGAGTGACAAGATTGTTTTCTTACTCTTACCAACTGTAAAAAAAAAAAAAATGAAAAAAAAAGCGTAGCCCTTGAGGGATTTGATAATAACATTTGTTAAAATAATTTAGGGCTGGATGATATGACCAAAACTTATATCCCGATAATTTTGGTTGAATCAAAATAATTTCGACATTGACATGAACAAAATAAAAGTTTCAGAAAGACTTCTTTATAAATAGACATAAACAAGAGCATCAAGCAGTAAAGACAGCTTTAATCATTTTATCAAATTGTTAGATTTATTTATATTATACTGCAATTTATATTGATACAGAATTATTGCCTATTCCTAAAATTACAATATGTTGAGGCAGAACCATCAAAGTCCATTGTCATGATATATTTGCCTCACCGTTAACCGTGACTCTGATGCTTCAGTGGATTTCATTGCTTTGATGGTTAATGATTTCAACCAAGGAGGCCATGAAACAGTTTTGCCTTCCAGTGGGAGAGCGATGCCAAAACATCACAAACCGGTTTCAGAAAGGATAAAGCAGTAACATAACATTATATTCCTGGAATGGCTTTGACATCACTGTATGGAAAACAGCGGCCAGTCTGTGGCAGGAAACCAATTCATTTCAATAAACTTGACCAACACTCCAGAGAATGGTGATCAGATTTCAACAAAGGCCGGGAAATTAATTGCATTCGCAATATAATCTTTGCGGCAGATTCAACAGGACTGCCGCGATGATGGAGAGAGGTCGTTATGATTTAGTTTACTGACTATTTGACCATGTCATTTATTTGCGAAACAAAGGAATGTTTGGTTGAAATATTTGCCAAAATATTAGATTTAAATGGAATTTTGTAAGTCAGTGATATATTTGACCTGAAGGATGGGTTTTAATGCCCTCAGTGTCCAAACCTGATGTTTATCTGTAGAAACCGAGATGCAAAAACTCCCCCTACACTGCAAAAAAAATTTAATCTAAGTAAGTTTATTTTTCTTTAAAAAAGAGCATTTCTTTCTTTAATTAAGCAGTTAAGTCATACACTTGGCCAATGGAATAAGGCAATTTACATCTAAAATAAGAAAAAACAATTGCGTTGTCTTATTCCAAGTGGATATTATCTAATTATCTCATTCCATTGGCAAATCTTATTCTTTACTTCCTTGAATTATGCTAAATACACAAATTTTAAGACATTTTTACTCGTTTCTACATCGTTTTTGCAGTGTAAGTGGCATTTGTAGAAAAATAAGGCTCAGGCTGTACACTTTAACTATCACAATAATCATCAACTGTCTTACATTAAACAGTTTCTTTCTGGATATTCCTTTATTTCTGTAGGAATGAATTTCTATGTTTAACCCCTTTTAGGATTAATTTCTACCTAGTTAGAGAAATACGAGCTAAATTCAAACTTGTACATCAAATTCTTCTAGTTTAAGGTTTGCAGAATTATTGCTTTTTGGGACAATCGAATAACATTTAAGCATAAAATGCACGTGACATTTTGACACGATAAAAGTTCCACACAGCGATACATCGCAGCACACCGGGCAGATCCTGCAGGATTAAAGAATTTGCAGCTACATAGCTGGATGTTTTTCTTCAATGGGAGGTCTAACAACTCAGAAATTTTTTCCTAATTTTGTTGCAAGAAAAGAACACGTTAAGAAAATCCAGAAATGGCACAAAATTTTTATATTAAAAAAAGGTTTTGTCATTTTTTTCATATTTTATTTAAAAAGTTTTTAGATAAAATATTTTTATCTTATTTTTTTTTTGCCATTTTTGTTTTTTTTAATGTGGAGCTGATCAGGTCTAGCTGCAGCAGAGCATCCTAAAACATGACATTTCCGCCCTCATGCAGCAGCCAGGAAACTCAGATCCTGGAACGGCGTATTAAATTTAGTTTTTTTAGAGAGCAAAGGTTCGTTCCTGGTAAAGTTCACACTTAGATTACATTTTAGACTACAAAATGCCTTCGTTTGGCATCTTATCAATTGCTTTCTGGCAAAACCTTTTGGTAAACCGGTCCTTGGCATCATCAGTTATTTTCAAAGTTCTCCCCTTGAAGTGGAACGGCTGATTTCAAATGCAGAACTCTCTAAATCCATGAAATGACTCTTTAGGTTTTCTCACTTCAACAGTCAGGAGAAAACCAAACTGATTATCTTTGGTTTAAACGGGCTGAATCAACATGAGTAAGCAAGCTCAATTTTTTTGCCATTTTAATGTGAACAAATGTGAGAATTGCCTTAATTTATCCTCATAAAAAAACTCTTTATATGTCCAGAAAAGTTCATTTTTTGTGATGAAAATGTACTTCCTGGATGCCTGAATTTTATATGATGTCTAACCCAGAGGATATGGCAGACATTGACAGTGTCCATTAGGAGTAGGTATTCGATTCGATTCGAATCATGATTCACATGCCACGATGCAATTCTATCACGATGCATCACAATACTTGAAATATTGCGATGCATCGTGATGCATTGCGATATTTTCCCTGAACACTGTAAGAAAAAGATACAGCCCTTACCAGTGGCTGACTGGCTGGGTATGATCTGGATCGTGTCTTCAATTGATACATAACTGAAAGCAACTGAATTCATACATAGCTGTATTTATTGAAATTACTTTTGGAGGTGTTGCCATTTAAACAAATACTGGACAGAAATATTACTATTACTGGCGTCGACACACTGACAAAAAGATCTTAGGATTCATAAAACTTAAAATAACAAATAAGGATAATCAGTGCCGTTTACATGGCCTCAGTGGTCCTTTTGCAAATGACGTGCATCATATCAATTTCATTTTCACCTTCTTTGTTTTTAAAGCCCAAATGCATCCAAGCGGGGCGAATTTTCTCAGTCTCCTCCATATTTTGTTTACGAATGACTCGTCTCAGTATCCCGCGGCCGGACATGCTTGTGACACAAAGCAGCAGGCGTCAACACATCCGCAGCGCCATCTGCTGGACTGGAAGTTGTATTCCACTTGGTTTGGCTGATGTGCGCCAACCATTAATGTATTTTATGTGTTCATTTTTTTTGTTTTTTAATAATCGATTCTTGTCTTCAAGAATCGATGCAGTAGATCACAAAAATTAGAATCACGATGCATCGTCACGACGATTATTTTGCACACCCTTAGTGTCCATGGAGGCTTCTGTGCTTATAATATAAATAGTTTTCTATGAATTTTACAATTTTAGGTGGATTTTTGAAAGCTTTTAATTTGCTTAATGTGTTTCACAGTTCATAGATCAATAGAACAATAACAAGGATTAATTCCAACCTATTATATTTGCATTATATTCCATAATTCTAGTTGTCACAACTTCGCCTTGATGGCAGAATCTCAAAGTAAACATAACTCCTCTCCCCTTTAGTTAAACCCAAATTAGTGGAGGAATCCTTTAAAAAAAAAAAAAAAAAGTTACTAATAAAAACTCAGCAGATTATTTGAGGAAAATTTCTAAAA